AGCAAATGGGACAGCGTGACCTAGAGGAAAGCTTGGTATAGCACCTGCCATGCCAACGGCAGGAAATCTCCCGAAAGGGGTGGGAAGTATCGGGACACTCTCTCTCTCTCTCTCTCTCTCTCTCTCTCTCTCTCTATATATATATATATATATATATATATATATATATATACGGAGAAGAACAAGAATCTCTCTCTCTCTCATCTGTCCAGTACTGACCAGTCAGATTATGTCTGAACTCCAGCAGCTTGCGAAGTGCAGGCCAGTTGATAGCCGGTAGCAGTCCCAGGCTATGCAGCCCCAACATACCCCTGACGACCATTTCTCTCTCTCTCTCTCTCTCTCTCTCTCTCTCTCTCTCTCTCTCTCTCTCTCTCTCGCGCGTGCGCGCGCGCTCGCACACGCCGCCTCCAACTCCTCCAGCGCTAAACAACTCACAGCACTCCTACTCCAAACAAGCGCAGCTGTCCAGCAGCCATTGAGTGAAACTGAAACTCGCCTGTCCCAAACTGAGAACTGGCCCAGCTATATACAGCTGGGCCTCCCGGGGGGTTACCCGTCTGTATACAGGACCATTGATTCTAAACCACAACCGATGGTCCTGGATGCAGGCCCAAGGCCTTGTCCAGCGGCTGGGTCTATAAATGCCCGACCCGGGTCCCTACCAGATGTCCAACAGACAAGGGCTGGACCGGGCACGAACAGACAAAGCCAGGTCCAGCCCAGGTACAGACAAAAGCTCCTGGGCCTAAAAAATGGTGCAACGTGACAACCTGTCGTCCACTGGTCTGAACAGGCACCAGTGCATGTTCGAACAAGGCAGAATCCCAAAAGAATCTCCAAGTCCAGGCAAAACCTTGCGCAGGGGCCATGCGAAACTGCTCCGTATCGTTCTCATTTAAACGGACAACACGCATAAATCGAGAAATGGTGCAAATGTTAAACCATCAGTACCTGGCCCAGCTATCGGCCGCGGCGCTTCCCGTATACGCGCCGCGCCATTTGGGCTTCGTCCTGCCGGACCGCATTGGCTGGAGGCCGCAGGCAAAACGAAAAAGAAAACTGCGACGGCGGTTCGGCAGGACTTGGCGCGCAGCGTGCTGGGAGGCTCGGATTCAATAGCTGAGCGAGGTACTGGTGGTTTAAAAGACACGCACACACACAAAAAAAAAAAAACAAGAAGATGAAGCAGTTGAAATTCTGCAGAAAATAAAAGAAATAAAAGAATTTGCCAAAAAGAGAACGAGGTACCAGAGGGCTCCCCAGAATAGAAGGAGCAGGCCAATTAAAACAAATACCAGAGGAGACAACAGAAGAGTTAACCAGAAAGGACAAAAATAGCCTCTTGGGCCTCAGCTGAAAATACCACCGCCTGCTGCCCAAATACTGTGCCACACATAAATCAAGAAATGGACAATTGTGACATTGTCCAAATTGTCCTTCGGGACATCCGTTAAAATTGGAACGATACAGAGAAGATGAGCATGGCCCCTGCACAAGGATGGCACGCATAAATCGAGAAATGGTCCAAATTAAAAAAAAAAAATTAAAAAAAAAAAAGAAAAAGAAGAAGAATTTGTCCAAATTAATTATATAAAAAGAAACTGTGCCACGGCCGTCAGGCTGCCCAAAAGAACGGCCGCACGACCGGTGGGCCTTGGTACCGTGGTTGGGCCCCAAGGGCCTCCTGTGTAGAAGGCGCTGGGCATGCCGCAGTCATCCTCTCCAACAAATTAGGCAATTCAACGGGTGAAGACAAATTGAAACTAGAAATGATGAAAGTTGCAATGTGCCTTGTATGTGGACTGCAAATCGACCAGATGCAGTTGGACTGATCGAACCTTTTGAATGTGTTGGGACAATTACGAGCTCCAGATACATTTGGAAATGTTGCGTAGTGGAGCGAGGCCCAATGACTGCTAAATGGCAGCCTGAGGATGTTCGACTCAATATGGCCAGAGCAATGACATGACCTTCTTCTGTCGTTTTTTTTTTTTTTGGAACATTGTGAATTTGTGAAATGATCACCAGCGACCTTCTTCTTTCCGTATTTATGGATGTAACTGTGGTGGCAGTGCGGTCAAATACATCCGGGTCCGGCCATAAGTTCAGGCAGACACATCTTAGATATAGATAGTGCGAGTACGCCCTTAGTGTATCTGGAGCCGTCACACTGAATGTATGTGGTCCATTTAACAGAACATACATTTCAATCTTTTTTTTTTTTTTGTAATGGAGTGAGGCCCTATAACAACACTGGTAGTGGGAATGCATACGGGGATGGATGACGATGACTCTCACCGGTACGGCACTTGGCAAAACAATATCTTCAGCACTTGGGCAACGCGCTTGTCTACATCCGTCCTCAGCGCAGAGATTCCCAGTTGCCTCTCTGTCAGCCCTCCTGCTCTAGCATCCACAGCGTCGTCCTGCCACATTTAGCGAAAAGTTGGTCCGCACAGGAAATGATGTGATTCAACATTGTATATTATTATGTAAAGAAAATTAGAAGAAAAATGTCAATATGGCAATGCCCATGAACTGCTGAAACACAGAAAACGAAGAAAGAAAACTGTGCGGCAAGAGACAGTGCAAGCATGAAGATGGATAAGGAACATACGCCGATGAGGATCGATCCGTCACACATGCAAAAAGAGTACAAGTCTCAAAATGTCCAACAATACTTCGTCAAAGACGACATGCAATGCCCACCACCACACAGCCATCCCTCGACACGTTTCGTCTACCCCGTGCACGCCGACTCTTTAGGAGGAAGTACCAAGGAACCCTCCGAGACTTCATACACAACTACATGGAAGTACATGTACGGAATACTTGAATTGCCTGGGCCGGTCAGCTCGGCGATAAAATTGTGAGGCGACCGCCCCGTTTCAAAAAAGGCATGTATGAAATACCTGAATTGCCTAAGGCCCGTTAGCTCGGCAATAAAAATTGTGAGGAGGACTGGATTGAAATTTGACGCTTGGACTAACCTAACCTGTGTGAGGAGGCCTGAATTGAAATTTGACCCTTGGACTATAACCTGTGTTCACCTTCCTCGTGGGAATGAAATTTGTCCCCTGCAGGGTCCCAGTCCCACTGGCAGCCTTGAGTTTCCTGAATGCCCGAATCTGGACGTCTTCGTGGAGAGGTGAAGAAATCGCATCGAGTTTCCTCAACCGCACATCTCCACAAACAAAGCCAGATTCAGGCTTTGAGGAAACTGAACGCTGCTAGTGGGACGAGGACCCACGGGCCCCATCCCAGCTTATAAGTCCTTCCTGGACGGAGCTCAGGGGGCCTAGTTGCACTACTCGCCCGCCATCCACCACACCTCATGGCAGATGCGTGGCGAATGGAAAAACTTCAAAGAAGTAAAATGGTGGCGAGTTTGGACTCTGGAGGTGTCTTTTTTTTTTTTTTTTTTTTTTTTTGGGAAAAAGCAAGGATTCCATTATCATGAAAACAAGAGGCCGGGAATTCCTCACAAACAAGGAGGTGTGTTTGCACTCAGGCTTACTCGCCACTATAATTTTACTTTCACTCCAATGCTGAGAAATTTTGCCCGGCGCCTTGTCTCAGTCCCTGAAAAGCTGTGAACTCGCCAAGAACTTCCAGTTGTTTTGTGGAGGGCCCTCGCTAGGTCGACCCTCCACGAAACAGCAGCAGTGGAAGAGAGTCGGAAACGGGAACTCGCCACAATCCTTGGCAGATTAAAAGACAAAACCTGTGAAAATTTGAAAACCTCTGACTGTTTTTTTTTTTTCCCACCAAGTCTGCAACCAAGCACCTACCACTCGCCAAACTTGGCGAATGGCGAGTAGTGCAACTGCACCCTGACTCTTCTCTAATTCCTTCCTTTCTTTCCTTTTCCCTTTGTTTCTTTTTTCTTTCCTGTTTTTAATTTTTTTCCCCCTTTTCTAGTTAAACCGCCACTGCCTCCGAGCATTGCTGAGGCCGAGTAGAACTGCGCGCCAAGCTTTGCCAAAGCGCCAGCGCAACCTTTTTTTCTTTTGTTTTGGCTGGCGCCGCCAGCCATTGTGGTCCACTGCTGGCACCCGGTCTCCAGAGAATTGCGGTATAGGTTCTATAATTTTCGAGTGAAACCACCAGTACCTTCCGCAGCTATTTTTTCAGAGGTGCGTCGGGTAATTCGATTGCCTGAAATGGAAGGGCGGGCACCGATAAATTGAATTGTCGGCCAGTCTTGATTCTCGGGCCGGCGCGCAGTGCCCGTGGCCGACATATGGGAATTTAAAGGTACTGGTGGTTTAAACTTTGCCCGTGAAAAAAAGAAGTGGTGGTGGTTTTAAATGACTTGCAAAAACAAACAAACAAAAAAAAACAAAAAAAAAAGAAGTAAAAGACTTGACAAGTTGCGAACTGTGAATTATATATTGTTTAATCGTCCTTCGGGACATCCGTTAAAATCAGAACGATAGAGAGAATGAAGATTAGCATGGCCCCTGTGGAGGGATGAGACGCATAAATCGAGGCAAGGTCCAATTTTTTTGGAAAAATAAAATAAAAATATATAAATTGTTTAATTCCTCCCGGAATTGTGACATGCACTGGGAGTTTGCACTCTTGCCACATTGCCGTACCATGATATCGAGCGGGAAGAACTTGGATGCCTGCTTCTCATACTTCTTCGCCCCCCTCGCCCAACCCTCAAACTCATTTCCCGTCTCCTCCTCAAACAATCTCTCGAATTCCGCCGTCGCCGCCGTTCTGGAGTCCATCTCATCCAGCCTTTCGGAGAGGCTGTCTTCATCACCCACTTTTCCTTTTCTGTGGTAGATGTAGTAGACATTGTCGTCTTCTCCACCTTTGATCTCAATTACCTGGAGTATACAGTACCTGGATGAAAGAACGAACACAATTTAGAGTCAGAAAGTCTCGCTCCACTACTCACCACATGCACAAAAGAACAAAAGTTATGGCAGTGTATCTTTCCATGTTCCAGCGGAAGAGTCAAGGACGCCCACTTCTTTGTGTCTTGCTTTCGCGTCCCGCATGTCTTGCTGCACTTCGTGCCTGCCTTCAGTTGGCATTCGCTATCGACGAAATACGCATTCCACGGCGCAGCATAAACCATGCGCAAATAGCCAAACACAGGCTTTCTGGAAAAAGTAGAAACCACATGACTGATAATACCAAATCCAGGAAAATTTCATCGGGAAGTACCAGGGCACCGTTTCGATGGACATTCAGCCCACAAAACGAGCCTTGCATGCGACCTGTTTTGCCTGGATGGATGTGCCACGAACCAGCGCCTCAGTACTTCACGAGAGCCGCGGCAGCATGAATGCCGAGACTCTGGAAAAATGGCTGGGAACCGTACTGGTGGACTTAAGTTTAAAGTTTAAACCCCTTTAGCCCCTCAAAAACCAACTTATACCCCCCTACGCTCCCTTGACAACCAACACTAGAAAAAAGAAAGGAGCCCGGATTTGGGCTCCTCTGGAC